TTACCAGGGGGCAGCGGTGGTTCAGCGGTAGAATACTCACTCTCCATGCAGGAGACCCAGGTAGGATTCCTAGCCAATGCACTTAATACACAGCCCACCACTTATCAGTGGAGGCTTGTGTGTTGCTATGATGCTGAACAGGTTTCAGTGGAGCTTCCAGACTAAGACGGACTAGGAAGAAAGGCCTGGCAATCTACTTCCAAAAATCAGTTAATGAAAACAACAGTCCGATCCGCAACCGATTGCAGGCAGTGTTTTGTTCTGCTGTGCATGGGGTTACCATGAGTCGGGGGCTGACTGGAAGGCAGTTAACAACATAACATCGTCTTAAAAAAAAAAAAAACAAAAACGGTTGCCCATTGATTCCTACTCATGGTGACCTCACATGGGTCAGGGTAGAACTGCCATCCATAGGGTGTTCAGTGGCTGATATTTGGAAGTAGATTGTCAGGTCTTTCTTCCCAGGTGCCTCTGGGTGGACTTGAACCTTCAAAGCAGCGAAGCACAGCAACTGTTTTCACCACCCAGGATTCCTTACTATATATTAACCAAAAACCAAAACCAAACCTGTTGCCGTTGAGTCTATTCCGACTCATAGCAACCCTATAGGACAGAGTAGAACTACCCCATAGGGTTTCAAAGGAGCATCTGGTGGATTCGAATTGTCGACCTTTTGGTTAGCAGCCATAGCTCTTGACTACTATGCCACCAGGGTTTCCTGCTATATAGTAAGTGCTCAGTAAATCCAAAGTCCTTGTAATGGCCCACAAGTCTCTGCCTCACAATGAGCCCATCGCATCACTCCCCCTCAGTTCCCATTCTCTTCCCCCATTCGCTTAGCTCCAGCCACACTGACCTCCTTGTGTGCTCCCATCGGTCTTTGCACTTGTTCTTCCCTCTGACAGGTACGCTCTTCCAGCAGATAAGCGTTTAGCTGGCTCTTTCACTTAAATCGAAACTCTGCTCAATGGTCACCTTCTTAGAGTTTTCCCCAGACCATTCATTCTAAGATAGTACCTATCCCATCTCTTGTTATCCCTTTACCCACTTTATCATCCTTCATAGGAATGCTGTTGTTTGGAATGACACAATTCCATTGCGTCTTATTTTGTCAGCCCCTCGAAGGTAGGGATTGAATACTGTCCTGCGGCCCTTCTCCTAAAATGGTGCCTGGCACATAGTAGGGACTCAAAAACTCTTAGTTGAATGAAGGACTTTTAGGGTAGCCATTGCCTTATTCAATCAGTATCTGAGTGGATTTTAGCTCCCACTCTAGATTGACCTAGAGCTCCTTGTGTAGAGGGGGCGGGACTAAGGGTCCAATGTGCCTTACAGGCTCTGGACGCAGCAAATAGGCGCTCAGCAAATGCAGGGCTTCCCTTCTGCATGCCAGGCATGCTGGAAGGGCTGGAAACCTCACTGCTGAGCTTGTTATGTGTCTAGCACCGTGTGGGGGTCCAGGGACACTGAGGCACACGTTTGTTGACAGAGGGAGTGGAAGAAGGCTTGCTATAAATGTTCACACTGTTTACCCGGGGAGGGGCTGAGTGGAGTAAGGTGGTGCAAAGAGCCTGGGGCCTCAGTTCAAACCCCAGCTATATGAACTCCACTCTCGGTCTCTTCATCTGTAAAATAGGGCTAATGATAGTAACTACCTCACACGATTGTTATGAGAATTCTTTATTAATCCCTGTGCCTGGCAAATAGAAAACCTTCATAAATGTTGGGTTTTACTCATAACAATAAGTACAGGTTACTTCTGTAATTTGAGCAAAACTTTCTTTTTTTTAAGTTGTCAAGTCATCACCTATTTATCAAGCAGTCTGCTCATAGCATGCAAAAGGATTCATACTCCTAGTGATTCTCCAAGGGCTTCAGCTCCAATCTCTTTCAAAATTCAGGTTGGGAAGCTAGGCAGGAGAGGGACTTTGCCGGCCTTGCTCAACCTGTGGAGCCAGGTGATGGCAAAGCTGGGAACAGAGCTGCACCTGGCACAGGAGCCCAGGCTGCACAGTGCAGCCTTCTGTCCTAAGAAGGCTCCAAGTAGTGATTCAGATCTTCATTGCTGCAGGGTTTTGCTTTGTCAAAAGCTTTTAAATCAACTTTATTGAGATGTAATTTACATACAATAATATCCCATTCGCCCAGAAATTTCCTTTGTGCCTCTTAGTAGTCAGAGTCCTACCCCCAAAGGCAACCACTGATACGATTTCTGCCACTATAGATCAGAGTTGCTTGACTTCATATAAATGAAATCATACAGTATGTATTCCCCACCCCTCATTTTTTTTTTTTTTTTTACAGTTTTGGGATAAAACTGATGTATACTAAGCTGTACATATTTAAAGTGTAAAATTTGAAATTTTTGAAATATTCACAATCATCACCTTGAAATCATCACCACAATCAAGATAATGAGCACATCCATCACCCCAAAAAGTTTCCTCATACTCCTTTTTATTCCTCCCTTCCTACCCCAACCACTGACCTGCTTTCTGTCCTTACAATAAGTTGTCTTTTCTAGAATTTTATACAGAATCATCCAGTTTGTACTCTTTTGTGTTCTTTCACTCAGCATAATTATTTTTGATTCATTTATACTGTTGGAGGCGTCAATATCTCATTCCTTTTTTCTTGCTGAGTAGCATTTCCTTGTATGGAAATTCCACAAGTTGTTTATCCATTCATTTGTTGAGAAACAATGGAGTGTTTTCCAGTTTGGGGCTATTGTGGAAAAAGCTTCTATGAACACTCCTATGCAAGGTTCTAGGTGTGGATTTGCTGGGCCATAGGGTAGATATATAAGAAACTGCCAAGCTGTTTTTCCAAAGTGGCTTAAGCTTAACATCAAGCTTGTTCCTGTCTCAAGGCTTGCACTTGCTGTTTCCTCTTCCTGGAATGCCTTTTCCACAAGTTTCAGCAAGGCATTCAGGCCCTCCAATCACCACTCTACAGCCATTATAATAATAATCGATTTAGGCAAGAATCATCAATGAATGCTAAAACCAGTGGGCGAAAGAAAGTCTGATAAAGAACCAAAAAGACACCTACCGGCTGGAGTCGATTCTGGCTGATAGTGACCCTGTAAAACAGAGTAGAATTGCCCTATGTGGTTTTTAAGGCTGTAATCTGTACAGAAATAGACTGTCAACATCTTTCTCCCAGGGAGCAGCTGGTGGGCTCAAACCGCTGACCTGCAGCCAAGCACTTAACATTGAGAAAGTCTGATGAAGAACAGGATAAATAGTTTCAAAATAGCTTCCCATAAGATACTTATTAATTACAAAGGGAAAAACAGAAACTTTACAGTGGAGTAACTTGGCAACCAAATAATCAAATTTAACATCACCAATATTGGGACGAAGCCCTGGTGGCTGCAGTGGTTAAGATCTCTGCTGCTAACCAAAAGGTCAGCAGTTTGAATCCACCAGCCGCTCCTTGGAAATCCTATGGGGCAGTTCTCCTCTGTCCTATAGGTTTGCTATGAGTTGGAATCCACTCGACGGCAACTGGTTTTTTTTGGAATATTGGGACAAAGAGTCCCTTAGTAGTTGGTACAAATGGTTAATGTGCTTGGCTAACTGAAAGGCTGGAGGTTTGAACCTACCTAGGCTTGGCGATCTACTTCTGAAAAAAATCAGCCACCAGAAAATCCTACAGAGCACAGCAGTTCTACTCTGACACACATGGGGTCTCCATGAGTCTGAATTAACTCCACAGCTACTGTTTTTCGTTTTTTTCTTAATATTGGGACAAACAAATGTTATTGCCTCCTGATTTAATGCACGGATGACACAACTTTGAGTAGCATCCCTGTCAAAAATGCATAACCTGAATCTAATCATGAGAACATGTTAGATAAATCCAAATCTGGGGACATTCTACAGAATAACTGGCCAGTACTCTCCAAAAGCGTCAATCACGAAAGACAAAGAAAGGCTGAGGAAATAACTCCCTCTCCAGAGTAAAGGAAACTAAAGACACATGACAACTAGATGCAACATGTGATCCTGAATTGGCTCCTGGGGAATAGCTATAAAGGGTATTATTGGCACAATTAGCTAACCTTAAACATGGACTTATGGACTGTGTGTTAAATAATTGTATCGTTGTTAAAATTCCTGGTTTTGATAACTAAGAGGATACCCTTGTTCTTAGGAAATACACACAGAAATATATAAAGAGGCATGATGTCTGAAATTTACTCTAAAATGGTTTAGGAAAAAATAATATATATTCATATATAAACACGCAACACTTACGTGTGTATATATCCACATACACAAATATGAGGATAATGCAAATATAGCAAAATGTAACAATTTGTTAATGTGGTTGAAAAGTTTATGAGAAAAAAGTATTACTATTGTAATTTATACGGAAATATGAAATTTTATCCAAAAATAAGTTACAGAGGCTTTTAGCGACCATGCTGTCAGAAGTGGCTGTCCCTAACCCCCAGGCACTTTTTATCTCATTTTTTTAAATCACATTTATCACTGTTGAAAATTATTCTGTGTGTTTATTTAATAATAACACCTAACATTACTGTGTGCCAAACCCTGTTCTTCCCATCTTAGATGAGGAAGAGACACAGATGGTTGGTCAACTTGCCCAAGGTCACTCAGGTATGTTTTCTTACTCCTTCAATGGCACAAAACCTCAACTAAGGCAGAGACTATCTTATCTACTGACCTTTCCCCAGCGACTTAGAATGCTGCCTTAAGCACAGTATAAGCAGTCAATAAATATTTATAGATTCAGTCAAATATTTATTGGGCATCTACTAGACAGTGGAGTACAAAACAGTTAACAAAATATTTAAAAACCCATGCCTAAACGAATATTATATTAAGCACTCACAACCGCACTCAATTTAGTGCAGATATATAAAAATATGTATTTTTTATATATAAAATATAATTATGTATAAAAACTCATTGCCGACGAGTCGATTCCGACTCACAGCGACCCTATGGGGCAGTTCTCGCTCTCTCTCTGTATATATATCACACACACGTATTTCATTCACTCTTTACAACCCTGGAAAATAAGGCCGATTCTACCCATTTTGCAGAGGAGGGAACCAAGGCTCAGAGAGGGGCAATGATTTGCCCAAGATCACTGAGGTAGTATGAAGCAGGGCTGAGATTCTAATCCAGTACGGGCGGTTCCCAGGGCTGAGCTACGAATCAATTAAACTGACCAATCTAAAATCACTGAATCAGTATTCATTAGCGGCCTACTGCGCGCAGCTCCTCTTCACGCAGTGGAGGCAGCCGCGGCGTCTCAGAAGCGCGGTGGATCGCGGAAATTTGGCGCCAATTTTTCGTTGGTCGAGTGTTCCTGAGTGTTCTCGCCCGTGATTGGGCCCCGGCTGCGGCTGCTCCGTCGACCCCGGCAGGACCCTGGCTGTGCGGCGCTCGGCCGGCCTCCTGGGGGATGGGCCACCAGGAGTCCCCGCCAGCCCGAGCGCCGGCGAGAGGTGCGACTTATATAAAGGGGTTATGTAAAAGGCTCAGCTGGCGCGAACACGTGGAGAGCCGCGGGAGCCTGGACGCCCGGTTCTTCCCCGCGAGCGCCGCTGCCACCACCGCTGGAGCAACAAGATCCGTCCCACACCCAGCCCTGGCCACCGCATCTCGCTCAGCTCAGTCCCGGAGGCGGCCCCGGCCGGGAACAGACCATCCCCAGACAAGGACTCCAGGGGGTAAACGGGCCGCCCGGAAGTGGAGGGGCGCCGGCCAGGTAAGCGCGCGGTCCGCGGAGTAAAAGCAAGCGCCGAAGCCAAAGCTATATTCGCCGTCTCGGCGCTTGAGGAGGGGAAGCGGACCCCGGGCTTGGAACCCTCAAGAGACGCCGAACTTTTTCAAGCCAACCCCCTCTCCCCGCCGCCCTCTGGGACTTGGGCGGATCTGCTGGGCTCTGCTCCGGCTTAATTCAAAGGACTGTTTACACCCCGGAAGAACACAGGGTGGGACGCTGGGAGGGGGACCCCAGTGGTGGCCAGGCGAAGAAAAAGACTTTAACAGTCTGAATCACCTCTTAAGGTGATTTTCATAAATTGTGGAGATAGGAGGTTCATGTTTTTTCCTATTCTTACACGGTAAATTGACTTAGAAAGCAAGGAGTTTTTGCTTTTCTTTCCGGTTCCACCTCTGAGCTGTTGCCCTGTGGTGCCGTCTCACCCAAATACCCCTCCCCTCTCCCGTTCAGTCTGCGGCTGTGGTTTCAGTCTTAAAGGGGCCGCGGCGGCCGGAGGTGGGACGCTCTGTGGCCTGCGCTCCTCGCCTCCTCGCCTCCCCGCCTCGGCCTTGTCGTTTAACTGATTCTTTGGCCCGCAGGTCGCAATCCAAGGTCTCGCTCCTCCGCGTCCCGGGGCAGGACGGAGGGATGAGGCAGGGGGGGCCCGGGCAGCGCCGTTGCTGCTCCCCCCGCCGCCCGCAGCCATGGAAACGGGGGAGGAGGACGGCGCCCGCAGAGGTACACAAAGCCCCGAGCGGAAAAGGCGAAGCCCAGTGCCGCGGGCGCCCAGCGCGAAGCTGAGGCCGGCGGCGGCGGCCCAGGTCATGGATCCGGCGGCGGTCGAGGCCCCGGGCGAGGCCTACTTGGCGCGGCGGCGGCCGGAGGGTGGCGGCGGGTCGGCGCGACCGCGCTACAGCCTTTTGGCGGAGATCGGGCGCGGCAGCTACGGCGTGGTTTACGAGGCGGTGGCCGGGCGCAGTGGGGCCCGGGTGGCGGTCAAGAAGATCCGCTGCGACGCCCCCGAGAACGTGGAGCTGGCGCTGGCCGAATTCTGGGCCCTGACCAGCCTCAAGCGGCGCCACCAGAACGTCGTGCAGTTTGAGGAGTGTGTCCTGCAGCGCAACGGGTTAGCCCAGCGTATGAGCCACGGCAACAAGAACTCGCAGCTTTACCTGCGCCTGGTGGAGACTTCCCTTAAAGGTAGGAGTGCCGCGGGCTATCACGGCCATACGGGTCCTGGACCTGCCGATCTCTACTTGGCTCGGCCCAAACTGCCTCCAGGACCCCCAGGCCCTAGTCCTGGTCCTGTCATCCAGGGCCTAGACACACCCTCAGTGCCTCCTTTCCAGGCCCAGGCGTGCGGGCCCTCTTCTCTTTTCAGGACCTACCGTCAGTCCCTGGCTCAAATGTTAGCTGGTATTTTCATAATAAGAGCTCATTAAGTGCTAACCATTAGCTTATTAAAGTGCTCAGTAAGTGTGAGCCATTATTATTAAACATATAACACTTTTAAGATCAGTTAGTGGGGTGGAGGGGGTAGAGTTCTGAGTTGGTGGAAGAATTGCAAAATCCCCTTACTCTAGGGTCTTTTTTCTTTCCCTTCCAAAACAAAACCCAATTTAGTGGACCCACTCACACCCACTCCCTGTCTGGGTCCAAATACCCAGACACCCTCCAGCTCCGCTCCCAAAACTCTTGCTTCCTAGTCTGCCTTTTCCTCTGAGACCCGCAGCCCGTCATCCTGAGGCAATCAAGCAAACTTCTCTTCTGGCCAAGTCCTTTGGGGCATGCAGAATAATAACCCCAGAGGTGGGCTAGAGCTGTCACATAACAAAACATCACGTCTTTTCCCTCTGTCTCACATTCTGGCTGGGAAGTGATTTTACTTTTAGGGAAAATGGGACTCAGCAAGGCCAAGGGGCTTGCAGTCCTGGGAGAGCTAATAATCTTAGTTCAAGGGTTTTAACTGCGGTTAGGGAATGCTCAGTACTCACTTGCCTTGTTCAGACTACAAGTAGGTAAGGATCTGTTCAGAGAGAAGGGGCAATGGGCTAGAGAAGTTGGAGGCGGCTTACTGAGGCAAAAGAATCCAAGGAAAAGGGAACTAATCTGAGTCCCAACTATGGTCTGAACACTGTCCTAGATGTTTTACAGAAGTGATTTTAGGTAATAACTTTAAAAGTAAATGCTCTCGCCTTTCTGTAAAGGGAGAAACTGAGATATAGAGAACATAACTTGATCAAGGTTAATTAGCTTGTAAGGGAAGTCAGAATTGACTCCAGAAGCTGTACCCGTGGCTTCCTTATAACTTCTTAAAGCCTACATGATGTGAACCCAGATCTGTCTTGATGTAAGGCCTGAGTCCTTTCATTATGGGTAATGGTGCTCTCTCTACCCCGAGAATGAACTTGAATTGGCCTTTAAGAATGGGTAGGATTTTGGGTGAGATTAGATAAGGTAGTTTCCTAAAATCTTGTTTGGGATTTTTGCCCAACTTTGTTTTTTAAGATCCCACCAACCCATTCCGACAGAACCTCTTGTCCGTTTGAAGTCAGTTGCTGACAGTGGATCAGGGGACATGATCATTATCACCTGAGGTTCCGAATAGATTTCCACCTTAATTCCCATCCCTGCCCCTTCCATTCTGAAAAGCTCACCTTCTCTCCAGGGTGAATGTATTTGTTTTGAAAAGATTCCCCAGGAGATACTTTTAATCTGTCTCTACTCTGGGAGCTCTTGGCTTATTTTCAGTCTTTCCATTCTCAGACTTTCTTCTTTGCTGTAGTTAATGAATGGCCTGGACTTCCATATGAAGGATTTTCTTGGGGTATGGGAATCGGCTTTGCCTAATGCTGCTCTTCCATCCTCAGTTCATTTTTGTTAGTCTTGAAACTTCAACTTGAGTTCGAAGCCATGCCCCCTACATATAAATACTATTCAAACTTTCTTCACATGTAGAATTTATCAAAACTCCACGGTAAACAACGGCAGCCCAGCATCCTGGTTAACACGGACTTTAGGGTAAGACTTCAGTCAGTAAACTGACTGCATGAGACATGGGACAAGTCGTTTAAAACCTCTGAGGAGTATTCCTTTGTTTGTAAGGTAAGGGTGAAGAGTACCTATGTCATAGGGTTGCTGTGCAGACTGGTAATGTCAATAAGTGCTCTAGATAAGGAGGAATTTGTTGCCTCACTAAGTTTGGGCTACATTCTGAAGCCTCTTCCATCACCCCCTTCCAGATTCACAGTGTTCTTATTCAAGTTTCCCAAACTTGTTTGACAGAGGGGCACATCCTATTCTGTGGAATACCTGCCAGCAGCATCCTGCAGGAAGATGTTCTCGGGCAGCATGAAGTGACATATCCTCTCTTTGTAAACTAAAACTGAGGCCTAGAGAAATGAAATATTTTGCTTTAGGTCACATACTGAGTATGTACCTTTCAGTTGTTTGGAGTTTTCAAAATATTCGAGCCTCTTCCTATGGTTGGGTAATGTTCTGGGCTTGGAGGTAGAGCAGCAAACAGCCATTGCCACTGCTTGTGGAACTGACATTGAAGCTTGCATGTAAAGTGTGGATTTATCAAGTGGTAAATGTTAGGTGCCGCTGAGTCAGCTTTGACCCATAGCAACTCTATGCACAACAGAACGAAACACTGCCCGGTCCTGTGCCATCCTCACAATCGTTGCTATGTTTGAGGCCTTGTTGCAACTACTGTGTCAGTCCACCTTGTTGAGGGTCTTCCTTTTTCACTGACCCTCTACCAAGCATGATGTCCTTCTCCAGGGACTAGTTCCTCCTGATAACATGTCCAAAATAATGTGAAACGAACTTTCACCATTCTCGCTTCTAAGGGACGTTCTTGCTGTACTTCTTCCAAGACAGATTTGTTCGTTCTTCTGACAGTCTATGGTATATTTGGTATTTTTCGCCAACACCATAATTGAAAGGCATCAATTCTTTGGTCTTCCTCATTCATTACCCAGCTTTTGCATGTATATGAGGTGATTGAAAATACCATGGTTTGGGTCAGGCCCACCTTAGTCCTCAAGGGGATATCTTTGCTTTTTAACACTTTAAAGAGGTCTTTTGCAGCAGATTTGACCAGTGCAATGCATCTTTTGATTTCTTGACTGCTGCTTCCATGGGTGTTGATTGTGGTTCCAAGTAAAATGAAATCCTTGACAATTTCAATCTTTTCTCTGTTTATCATGATGTTGCTTACTGGTCCAGTTGTGAGGATTTTTGTTTTCTTTATGTTGAGGTGTAATCCATACTGATTTTGATCAGTAAGTGCTTCAAGTCCTCTTCACTTTCAGCAAGCAAGGTTGTGTCATCTGCACATCACAGGTTGCTGAAATCTGCCCACCATGGGTGACCCTGGTGGTGTTTGAAATACCGGTGGCATAGTTTCCAGCATCACAGCGATACGCAGACCATGACAGTACAACAAACTGACAGATGAGGGTGGTAAGTGGTAAAGAGGCCATCATTTTTGCTTAAAGTGAAGAACAAAGACCCCCATTACCCCACGTTAAGTTTTCCTGACTTAAGCTTCCAAAGTTTAGCAGTCTTCATCTGTCCTGGGGCCCTTACGCATGCTGATACCATTCAATAATGTCAGAGGTGCATGGAGTCTTAGAGATAAGCTTGTTTAACTTTATCATTAAATAGAAAAGTTCTTTACAAGTGCCCTTTGCCCAGTCTTCTGCAATCTAGAATGATTTTGAAATCAAAGAAAAAGTAAAGTACTATATTACATTGCCTTTAAGTCTGAGCTCAACCAGATCCACAAACTTAGATGGAGTTCCTGTGTGGTGTTGGGGGAGGGAGGATACTCCTTGCTGCAAAGGAACTTACATTTGAAAAGTTTGAGAATGTGTAGATGACTTATATGCTAATCAAGGTCACTGGAGGAAATGGTAGGTTGGTTCATTAACAAGAGCTTTGTACAGAATTAAGAGAGAATCTAGAGAAGGCAAGGACCAAATGGTGCCTAGGGCCAAGAATAGATGGAGAAGCGAAAGTAGAATCTCTTTCACCATTGGGCCAAATAGAGATTACTTTCCACCTTCAATCTCAACTCCCTACTGAATATACAAGAGTCATTTGTATAGTCTCAGTAAATTTTTTGATATATAAAGAATCCAATGTCAAAAGAAAGAAAAGGGAAACTTCTTGAAATACTGTTCTTGGTCTTATTCGCCTTTGATAGACTTCTGTGTCTTATGCCCTTCTCTCTCTGTGAACATAGACTGAACAAATCATACCCAGAAGCAGGTGGAAACTCTAGACAGTTGGAGGAGGTCTTAGATTTCTGGTACGCCCTTCTGTTTCACAGGGAAGGAAGCTGAAGACCAGAAAAGGTACAGGACTTCCTCCAGATGAGTTAGAGGCAGCACTCAAACCAGCCTCCCAGACTTTTTAAAACTAGATTATCCTATAAATTACTTGGTTGGTTTTGGTGTGTTTAACTTTTAAGAACTTCTGTTTAACTGAAAATGAAGGATTAAGGCATCAACAGTTTGCCTTTATCCCCTTGTTTGCATTGCTAAAGGACGTTGTCCTAACCCATCTAAGTCAAAATTCAGATCACTGCTACTTAGAAGCCAACAGGCAAGCCTGAGCTGATTGCCAAGCTCAGAAAGTCTGGCACTCTCTAACTTACACACTGATCCTTCTGACAAATGGCAGCAAGTGAGGACAAAAAAAAAAAAAATCCAGAGTAGTTCTAGCTCAATGAAACTGAATAAATAGAAGTTTGGAAGAGCTAGGAGCCTAGCTTATTGCTGACTTGGTAAGATACTAGTTCTGCTTTGCCTATTGTTTGATGTTTACTGTACTGAGATACTATTTGGTGGCTTGAGTTGGGTGGGAACCTAGGCTGGATGGCGCTTGATATGGGAGGTGTCTGCCTGCAAGTCAATGCTGAGTGGCTGCTGTGAGCCAGGCACTCTCCCAGAAGAGGCTGCACAGTTTCCCTCACAAGGTACGCAGAAGACACATGTCCAGATGACCACAATTCAAGGTCACAGGTGGTGGGCATCCTAGAAAGCAGTAGATGATTGTCTCCAGTTTAGTTAGAGGTGTGAGAAAGCAATAGACTAATCTGGGAAGGCTTCATTGAGCAGGTGGAATTGGATCTAGTCTCAACAAGTCGACTGGGTACACTGAGAGCTAATGTGGCGAAGGAGACCAGG